AATAGTTCTGACCTTGGTGTTGGAGTGAACACGTGGGAGAGTGCAGGAATTATTCTGGATGGAACAATATATTTTTTATCAACCCTCTTATGAGACACAATCAAGCAGGAATCGTGCGTAATTAGGTGACGTGAGGACAATTCTCAAGTCTTCTTAGTTGATTCCTGTAGAAATGATAATATTGATGGATGAAAAAACTATTAGTGAAGGATATAGAATAATTGAAAGATTTTTCATGTCGTTGATGCATCATTCTTCTTTATTTATTGAATTCAGATGAGTCGTAACTTCTGTTTATTTATAATTCCTGTTATCGAGTATTTTGAAATAATAGCAGGTCAAAACCATTGCCAATTTAGAAGACTGTTTTCCAAAATTAAATGTTTACTAGTAAATTTAGCCATGACATTTTAGTAAACGTGTGGAGGGGTGGGAATCAATTGGTAACTATATTGATAACATAATCAAGCTGGAATCGTTTGTAATCAGGTAATGTGAGGACAATTCTCAAGTCTTCTTCTTCTTCTTAGTTGATTCCGGTAGAAATGATAATATTCATGGAAGAAAAAACTATTATTGAAGGATATAGAATAATTGAAAGATTTTTTATGTCATTGATGTGTCATTCTTCTTCATTTATTGAATTTAAATGAGTCGTAACTACTGTTGATTAATAATTCCAACTAACAACAGGTCAAAACCATTGAAAATAACGTTGATCTCCTCTCCAAATGGAATGTTTACCTCTAAATTTAACTGAAAACCTCTGTTTTGCAGTGAACGCAATCGTAATTATTTCGAGTGAAACAATATATTTTTTAGTACCCCTGTCATGAGACACAATCAAGCAAGAATCATTCCGCATTAGTGATGCGAGGATAACCATAAACTCTTCTTAGTGGATTCCCGTGGAAATGATGATATTGATGAGGAAAAAATAATGATTGCAGTTTTATAATAATTCATTCATTCATCCTCGTTCACTTATGGATTCAAATGAGTTTATAACTCTCGTTATCGAGTATTTTGAAATAACAGTATATTAAAACCACACTAGATATTATATATTCCCTTTAAGAGACATTTTGTTGTGTTGAATCAATTTACTTGTCGACAAAAAAGAAAGTTTCCACCAAGACATGATAATTTTCGTAGTAGTAATTGTTCTCGTGAGACATTTATGTCTTTCGGGTAAATACATTCGTTCTCCAAAGAATTATATGAGGCTCCGGTTTTATCAAGTGAATGTTACTGAGTAGTGTATATCTTTGTCCGATGAACACTTATAATTTCCATGAAACAAATGATAATTTCAAGAGGAATCTACAATTTTCTTGCCGAAAACTGTGTTATTGGCAACACTATAATTTCGAGGGGGCAATTTTTTTGGGGAAAAAATATTCTTTCCTCGTCAATATATTCTTTCAATGGTATAAACCTATGGAATTCTCTCAGATCAAATGATTGTCGTACAATAGATTATACTTTTTTCCTGTCAACAGTTCGAATTCATCACGACAACATTTCCATTTTCGTGAAAGATATTAAATTTCCGTCTAACGAGTGCGTTAATTTCTCGCAAGCAAATCTACTCCATCAAATATTCTCACGTGGAACATACAGTTTTTCGGCAGAGCTAATTTTTTCTCTCAGTGCATTCCCAACTCAACCGACCTTCAAACATCGAACGTTCGTTTCTGAATTCACCTTAAAAATTCTCTTCTGCAAAACCATATTCTCCTTCACAGAATCATTTTCCACGAATAAATTAGCTCTGTAAAAATCACTGATTATTCCCTCTAACGGGATATTGCATAATGACATGCAAAAAATCTTGATAAACTCCTTATTCTTCTTCTGAAAATACTCCAATAATTCCCGTTTCCCGATAAAGTGATAATACGTCAGTGAATCTCCATCCGTACCTCATTAATTCAATTCGAAGGGTTATTATAGCGTGAAAATGAACTACTAACAATCAATACCCGCTCCTCGAAGACTCTCGGGTTGAATATAAATCATTATTCACGTTTATCACAAAAACCATTACCGATCATGGAAACTAAATCATCGTAACACGTTGAAAATTTATCTCAACTGACATGTGAGAAATCACGCCAAGTGGACAACAAGATTTATTGAATTATTTCTTCTGTCACATTGTTATCTCCATGCTATCGATTACATAATATTTCATCGACTATTATCATTCTTTTTTCCACACACCTTGTTCCAAGTAAAATGATAAAATTACCTCAATTACGCTCTTAATTACCGCTTTATCAATTGTTACAACAATTAAAAACTTTATTCGAGATAATTATTCCATAAAAAATACTGAAAAACAAATCTCGTGTTCCGCCTTCGTTGCCACATTCTATCCACCGGCAGGAGAGTGCTACAATCATTATCTCCAATAAGCTTATGAATAACCACTTGTTCTGCATTTTTATCATCCTCCAGTTACGTCACAAAAAGGCAGGACCAAAGTTTCATTAAAAATCTAATGGATTCGAATGCAAAATGAGCAAAGGTGGTTCTGCATAACATTGGCGTGCATCCAATCTTCATTAATAACTGCATCGAGAGGTAAAAAAAATACCAGAACTCATCGTATATTCGAAATAATAAACCACAGGATGATTATTCGACTGGAACTATTTTATGTCTCTTAATTACACAGAAAACTCGGACAAAAAATACTTCACTGCCGACGAATTAATCGGGTCAATTATTTGACGTTTCTATTCGATTTTATTCACGTCGTAGAACAGAGAATGTGGTTGATAAAAACGTTTAGATAATTGGTCCAGGATTGAAACATCAATGTAACATGTGGTATTTATGGATTCTGGATAACTTTTACCATTTCAGGATACATTATATAATAGTCAGTGAATTTTGTGGAGTTAGCCGGGAGAATTTACCAGGCCTCTCGCGATTTATCGCTTGACATAGGGAGGAGTGGGGAAAAATGGAGACTTGGGACTTTTTTCGAAGTTTTAATTACATTAGAGATTGATATCCCTTTCATTATGCCCTTTTTCCTGTCCGATTCGATCTCACTTTTTTCAATTAATTGTTTATAATCATTCTCACTGCAAAAAGCAATACGATCGGTGAGAATCATAAGCCCCAATTCATCAGCTGTTAAATTTTCATATTACTGTAAATGATTTGCCCACGTTCTAATGCATGCGCTCACTGAATAAGATTTAAAGCATAATTACAATTCAGTTCCGTCTGGAACACACTTTAGAGTGTGAATATCTGAAATTCTGGATTTTAGTTTTTAGTTAGTTCACACGGTAATTCAATTAATATTTCGTTCATCTCATCGATATAATTTCGTGCTTACAATATTGTCATCTTGTGTTTTCAGCACCAAATAAAAAATTATAACTTAATTTTGAATATTGGGTCACAACTTCTTTTTACTCATATCAGAACTTTGGTATTTGGATATTAATATTATTTGTTCAAAGTGAAAAAATCTATAATCATTTTCGCTTTATTGCTTTCAGATTCACCTATCTTTAACGCAAAAAATATGAAATAATCTCATAATTCTGGTGATTAATTATAATTAGCTTTGTTCGAAGAAAACTTTAGTAAACGCAATATTAAGAAAGTAGAATTATTCTATTTTCCTCCGTCCTAAATGAGTTGCACTTGAATTATTACAGATTGAAAATTTTCGCGTCCACTCAAATTCCAAAAAAATCCTAACAGTGTAGAGTAGAAAAGGCAGGTGCATTTCGCTAATGTTTCCTCAACTTTTTTCTCCGTGTGAATAACATGGAAAGAACGCGCTAATGATTTCTTCAGCGAGAAAACCGACAACTGTATTGTTTTTCCTGGATTCTGATTTGCAGGAAAATAGAGACAATGGGACATTCCCAGTGAAGTTTATCGTTGCAACGTGCGGAGGTGAAAAAATAGAGCACGTGGATTGTCCCGTGTGTAATTCAATTCCTCGGATTATGGAGACAAAAAATGAAGAATCGATCGTTTGTGGAAGCGATCGATTGATTGAACTTGATGTATGAATGAGTATAGCTGATGGAAGATAGCATTAACCGGTTGGACAATGACCTACCTCAGGGTACGTTATCGTTCCGTCAATTCGAAACTTTGAATTCGAAAGTCCGAAACTTTTGAAGTTCGAAATTTTGTGCTACAATTTTTTTTTCTAATGAACGATGCGATACGATTTTTTTCTGATTCCATCGATGCATTTTCATGACAATTAAACCTGATTAGATTGTGATAACGATCGTCTCAGCATTTTGTCAAGTTATTTACTTTTTTATTATGACCAATGGATTTTTACATAGCGAGCATTTGATTTAATTTTAATCGAAGGGGTCTCAACCCCTATTCCAACCCCTACCCCTGGTTTTGATGGGATAATTTGTGTTTCGAAGGTCTAGAGATGGATCTAATGACCGAGGCAATGACCAGCATGTTCTTGCCCGGGGAAGCCCACGTGTAGGTGCATGAACGGGGAAAACCCTGATGCGGGTATTCACCGGGGAATTTTTTCAATGCAGGGCACTCGATTGCGAATGAAAGTCCATCACTTAGGGATTATAGCTCGTTGATAAAATGTCGAAGTAGAACTAGAAGCGATTCGGGTTGTTGCGACATCTATCATACATCACCTCTTCTTCATTGACAATATTTTTTTCTATTTTTTTAAAGAATTTCGACTTTTATTTTTCAAGGTGAAATTGTAATGAAAATGATGAAATTCTCGGATCAATGCCCTTTTGTGAAATAATCTTGAACCGTTGTCGTTTGGAATTTTTCATTGCCAATAGCCGATAGCCACATCCGGAAATAATACTGCGATGTGTTAACCAACCTTGCTCCCACTATTCTAAATTCAAATCATGTCAACATAATCAGGAGTATCAGAAGACCTTGATAACTCAAGTAAGGTAATACTTAATTATTAATATTTTTCGTCTCCTGAAGGCCAATTCCCACACTCAATCTATCATAAATAACTTCCTCCCTTCAGGTGAGGAAGTTACCAATAATCATACAAAAAAAATTTCAATTATCAATTATTTTTTATCTTTCTCAATCAATATTTCACGAAGAACCAAAGAATTACAATTCAATAGCACCCCTCCGACATTTCGCGTGATACATTTTCTTGATAATGATAACTCATGTCGTCGAACAAGTGATAAACCTCGGAGTGATTATTTGATCGAATAATCACTTCACACCTTCAATAACAAATAAAAGTATCAATCGACTGCAATTAAAAAATCAAAACTAAATAATAACAATTCAGTGAACGTCTCAACCATTCAATAACTAAAACATTAAAATTTCGAAAATAATCTCATATTCCTAATCCCCTGTTACAAAGAACTGCATTGCTGGGGTCTCAAGTTCCACCTGAGAGTCCCCTCAAACGTCGTATCGCACTCCGGAAAAGTCCTTCTATATTTCCTCCTCCCACGACGTAGGAAGAAGTTCCGCACCCTCTCAGTAATTCCCCTCCTCTCCTTACGAAGAAACGGTTGATCTGTCTCAGCATCCGAGATGGTAGTCCTTGAATCTGGGCGATGACAGCAGAGTAGAATTTCTGGTGGTCTGCTTGGACTGAGTTCAGGACACTCATTCGTGGCCTCCTGATGATCACTTGGAAGCAGATGATGTCCATTCCTCCCTAGGAAGGCATTCTGTGTCCTGATGAGATGATTTATGTCTCTGTTCCACCTCCTGACCACCTCCTCCTCTTGATTATGATCAGCTTCATGGGATATGTCGTCAGGAAATCCGGGTGGATCATTCCCAATTTCTTCGGCGACACTGATCATTGAAACATTGGGCACTCTAGTCGAGGACATTACCTCTGAGGTTGAATAAGGTTCACTGGATCTCTCCAAATCCTGAATCACACTACTCGGCCTCGACGCCTCAGCCAAATACAGACGTCTACTGCGACGCCAGTCATCAGACGCATGAGTTTGCCCTCCCGTCGTGTCTGGACGATCTTTTGAGTCAATCCCGTTACTCCTTGATTTAGAAGTCTGCAAGGACTTCAAGGTACTCTTGATCCTGTCGGTCAGTGAGGCCGACGAGTCTGAGAGCGTCTTCTTAGACTCTCCAGACCGTCGACTCCTCGAAGGATTCGATCCTGGAAGATGGCGGGGATATAACGTCGCTGATGGCGGCTCCATACTCGAAGACGAAAAACTTGTAGATGAGTGATACTGATGGGATGATTGTGCACGGAATCTGCCTGTTGGTGTCGGTCTCATCTGCAAGCGACTAGATCCGTCTGAAGACGTCTGGTTGAGGGATGACTTGGTCTGCATTTCAGTAGCGATTCTCAGCGAAGCATCTCGATGGCCTAAAGCTTCGGTTATGAATTTTTGAGGGGGGTGGGCTCGTGGAGGCTTCGGCACTTGTGGGACTAGAATTTTTAACGGAACCTGGGGGTCGGTACGACTGCCTTCAGTATCCGCAGCTGATGATGATGGATTTCGAACTGCAGATGATGTAGTTGACTCGTCGGTCGTTACCGATTCTGCTTGTTGTAGTAATCTGGGATGTGGAAGCGTTAATCTGTCTTCGGTCATCAATGGGCCTGATTGGACTGATGATCTTAGAGGTGCAAGGGTGGACTTGTCTTCAGTCATTAATAGTCTCGCTTGAGTACCTACGCTTGACGATTTTGGCGCTGAAAGCGTCGATCTGGCCTCCGGCATCAATAATCTTACCTGAGTAGCTATACTTGAAGTTCTTTGAACTGGAAGTGTTGACCGATCCTCAGTCATTAGTGTGTCTGCTTGAGTACCCACGTCTGATGATCTCGGCTCGACGGCTGACGACTCGTGTATCCCCTCAGGTATTTGTGGACCCTGAGAAGTCCCTGTTGTTTCCATTGCACTTAAATAATCGTCTTCTGTCTGCGTGGACTGTGTCGACCTCGACAGGATTAAATGGATGTTGACGCACTGCATGACGTTGCGTTTGTCTGAATCGTTCACAGGAGGAACCAGGGAATTGTGCACTGGCTCCTGCACATTCTTCGGTGGATCCCGTGGAGTTGTCGAGACTTGGACGACCGGTACCACTGGCGGGACGCACGTGAATAACGCCTTTCCCTTTGTTGGATTTTTGCGAGAGCTTGGCGGGGGAGATTTTTCGGTGTCGGTTGACGGAGAGATGACACCTATTTTCCTGAGCCCATTCAAGAAAATTGTCATCAATGATTGAGGCTTCGGGATAATTCCGGCGGTGCGAGCAAGAGTTTTTTTGGACTCTTCGAAGTCGTTGTCTGGGGGAACAAATGATAGAATAATTTCTTCTAGTTTATTTTCCAACAGTTCTGTTATTTGGGAAAATGAGGCCATTCCTGAGTGAATGATCACTTAGAAAAACATTATAAATCGAATTGCAAAATGACAAAGTTTCAAAGAGTTTGGAATTTTGTTTGAGTTTCTGGAAATTTTGTGGAGTTTTGAAGATCTATAGATTTATTTGAAAAACTCTTAACAAATATCGTGTTATTGTATTGAAGTCTGAAGATTGCGGAAATGTTTTTAGAATTCATAAAAATCCCTAGTGAGGATAAGGAAAAAAGATACTCGAGGTGTCCTTCCAAAAATTTGGATATATCTCGGAATATTTCTGAAAACAATAGGGAATGAATCGAACAACAATGGTTATGCATAGCTTAAACACAATGAAAAAAACCAGACCGGCGAAAAATATGGAGATACGTGATTGTTGCTACAATAGATTTTTTCATAGTAAATGATTGATTGGAACGTTTTACTGGGGATATATATCTCCATCAACCTTTCAGCCATTCTCACATTCTCTAAATATATGGATGAACGAGAGATGAGATTTCAACTTTATAAAATTCCGCAGAATTTCATTTAATTTCCGAGATTTTTAAAATTTTCAGAATTTCATGGATTCGTAGGAGCCCCTTATGAACTGTTAGATCATTCCACCCCTTCCTATTCTGATGGAATTCTGATGAATTCCAAATGAGATTCCAGAAGATTTCTCAACCATTTTTTAGTTTTAATGGAGATTCCATGAGATTTCATTAAATTCCCCTAATTTTCCCTAAGATTTCTCACATTTCCAGGATCTCATGAATTACAAGTATTTCAAAACCGTCTACATCCGAAAATTTCATAGAAAAACCTAGCGAATTCCGTAGAAAATTCAATGTTCCACTCTATTTTCTTCTCTTCTCATTAATCAAATCGAACAAAAAAAAACTTGGAAAATGTGAGCCGAGGAATTTCTATAGAAAATATCTCAATAGAATGAGCTGTATAGAAAAATGGAATTCTATTGATTTTCCCTACAGAATATTTTTCATTAAACTTATCTATTGAACGAAATTAACAGTTCAATAGAAATCCAATAGAATTGTCTAACGAATTCGCTAAATTTTTCACTGGAATTTTTTCGGGCGTGTCAAATTTCTCTCACTATACTTCAGAAGCTTCTAACTCTATTTGTATACAAAATGTCATGATTATCCCCTCGGTAATTCCCTACTCACCATCGTCATCATCCGGGCAATGTAGCAATGGAGCAATGCACGCTGAAAAAGCCGTGATTGCCACCGCAGTACCCAGAATAACCGCCATTTTTCCACCAGTTATTTTCGCTGCACAGTTAAACACCTCTACCACCATTAGACCTCATGTCTCAACCAAAGAAAAAATATTCAATCTTCTCAAACAGTTGACATTGTTACCATGAAAACTAATATCCATCTCAGAGTGTTCTGCAATATCAAAACTCAAATCTAACCGAGTCTAGACCGAAATAATTTCAAACTGCCTGAACCCATCAAGCAGTGACGTTCGCTCTACAACTGGCCCTTCGCCTCTCTCCTCGCAATGCCCATTCTCGCAATCGATTTTGCTATCGAAAAATAAACATCAATACATTTAACCCAAACCATCTTATTACGGAGACCAAGACCTTTCCAACTCGAATGGAATATAAACACACCCAAATTATTCGCTCTCTATTACACAATTGTAGAAACCTTGACAGTGATCACTCACTTCCGTTGGAAAGATAATAGAAAAAAGTTCATAGCTGAGTCTTAAGACTGAAACCTTGGCCTTGCACAAGCTTATTGGCAATAAATAATGGAATCACCGCTTAGAAGTGTTTCCTATGTAAAAATGTCTACGTAATTGTCGATGTTTATCTCTTCTCCGAAAATCGAATTTTTTCGAGATTCAGAAAAAATTCAGTGTTGTACTACCTATCACTTTTCGGCATGATTTGACATACGTCAAGTGTTTTTTTTCGCACGACGTACGTACAATTCACAGGTGGTGCGTAATATAATTTTCATCACTTATGCGTAAAGTGAATTTTTACACACTCTCCGCTTCCGATTTTGTAAATTACACTGCAGTACAGCCTCAGAAAAATTTGAAAAAATTTGACATCTCATTTAAAAGTGTCTAGAAGCCCTTTCGATGAAAATAGCCACCAAAAATATCATAATTAGTTGGATTTTCAAATTTTTATTCCGAAACTCCGGGCCGTGTACCGTGCATACGGCGAATTTTCATGGAAAAATGGCATATAATTAAAGGGAAAACCGAACATGAGAAATCTCACGGGATTTCTTCAAGTATACGATCTAGATCACTCTTGATTTGTTTTTGGATTTTTCCTAAATCTTTCAAATTTATCGTTATGTCGATTTATGCTCGTGCGGCGCGACCAACGGCGTTCGTAACTTTTGCGGGACCGACGGAGTGTTAACTATCAAGATAAGCTTTAGAAAAAAGCACATAGTCCCATTAGGGTTAGTCAATAAGGAAGACGAGGAGTGGATGAAGTTCGGCCCTTTATTGGCCTTCGAGTTTAGACAATATAATAACAATAATTTGATGACAGCCTAACAATGTATTTTTGGTAGAACCCTGAGACAACCTAACATCAACACTAAAGCCATGCAAAAATATTCTTTTTAGCCTTCAACAGGCTTATTTTTTATGCATAAACATCGACGTAACGAATGTTTTTTATATTCATAATAGGGAATATCGTTGAAATCACTAGGGTGGAACGGTATTGTTCACAAGAAATCTAAAGGACATTCCTCACTGAACGCGTCGCAGAATTGACGCGACGCGTCCAGCTGTTAAAAAATAATAATTAGACTGTTTTTCGATTCGAGCGTTGCATCAAGCCTGCGGTACGTTCATTGCGATATTTCCTTAAAACTATTGATCGAAGAAGAAATAAATATCAATTGAGCAAAATAATATACAACGACATAATTATATACGACAGAAGAAAACGATGCGCAGAATGACCATTCGGAAGGACATTGCTAATTTATTAGCACAAATAACTATGCTGTATGGAGACGAGCGCAATTTTCCACTTGTTTAAAGTTCCCTCCGATTAACTGGAATCAGGTGCGTGTATGAGTGTACCAGCTGTACGTGAAGGCTCCAGGAAGCTCTTTCGATCGAGGTGAGACTCATTTAATCTTTGAATGTAATTAAATCGAACGTGTTTATTATTATTTTTTGTGAAATGCGGATGTTGTGGTTTTGTGTAATTTTTTTCGCGGATTCGGGCGAAAATTTAGAGGTCCAAGCATTGATTTTAGTCGATAGATGGGTTTATATCCAGTTGTTAACTTCGGGACTCGCTTCGAAATGATTCTCAATTTTTTAAACTATTGACCGCTGTGACAAATAGAGGAACCTTGGGGATATTATCAGACGCCTTCGATCGTGTCCAGAGGCGAAGTAGGTCCTTCGGAGGTCCTCGCGTCATTCAATTTTTCCAGGTACTTTTGATGCCATTATTGATGAATATACTCTAATTTCCATTGACGTGCGACTCAGTGGGGTGCATTGATTCAATTAGTGATGGATAAATCGTTTATCCAGGTTCGTTATGACTTTGAGAATTATCATAGACGGATGTTGGGGGAGCAGGACAGTATGATTGACCTTCGTTGTACTCCGGTGTTGACGGTTGACCTCCACTTTCTGCAGGACTATTTTCATTTGAATGTGTTTGAAGCCGGATACCACGTGTATTCGTTGTTATCGATATTTCATAATGTCAACTTCATGTCAATGATAAATACCGAAAATCATGTGCGAGATAAATTCACGGATTATTTTTGTCATCGAATCCTACCTCGGGCCAATCCGAGGGGCTGGTCACTCCGCAAAAATTGTAGACTTGAAACTGCAAAATCAATTTCGATTCTACACTTATCGATGATTTGTAATAATTTCGGAAATCATCTGATTTCTTTATGATTTCTATTGATTTCCAATGATTCCCAGAAACCTTTAAAAATCACTATCGAAAATGGAAATCACTTGATTTCCAGTGATTTCCCAAGTGACCAGCCCCTCGGGCCAATCAAAGCGTAGTATTTGATACTATGAAGTACTATCCAACGATTGGGATAAGTTTTATTTGCAAAATTTTTCTCTCTCATTACTACCTAACGTAACATCCGAGAAATATCCGATAATTTCGAAGGTCTCGTATTAAAGACTCCGCGTATTTTTGAACATAAAAATATTTTTAAAAAATTAATAAAAAGAAATCTACCATTGATTCCATAGAAATATTTTCTACGAAAAAAATATTTATTTCTCGGCATCAACTTTGAATAGTTTTTAACTTGAATTTTTCACCGAGAAAAGAAAAAAATGTAGTGAAAGAAAAATTGCAAAATTCATGCAAATTTAATTTCCATAGAAAACATTTCAATAAATTGTATTGCAAAATGCCAAGAAAATCTGTTGCCTCCATTCTCCACTCCTAATGATAAAAAAAAATCAAATACACCGGGAAAAATGTTACTCCTCTTGATCGATTTCTCTAATTACCCTAAAAAGATTCACCGCTAATTGTTCGTTCCACCCATTCCAGATACGATAAAATCACATTTTCCCAATTCAGTAGGTGAAGTATAACGGAGTCTTGAAACGCGTGAGATAATTATTCTGTCAATGATCCAGCGTACAAAGAAGGGGATAGAGAAAAACAAAAAATGTGACCAATGTATGCACGCACGACCTCGACCCCTTTGAGTCAGGTTCAACAGCAGCTCGATCCCCTCGAGCTACTGAACACCATCGTTTCCCTCTCGTTCAGATTGCCTCGAGATTTCTAATCATCCATTCTCTCCCTTGAAAATTTTCTTACAATTTTTTTTAACCCCCAAATATTTAGTTGTGCGTTTTAGAACGTCCGTTTGACAATGAGACTCACTCTATGCCGATCCGGTCTACGAACTGGCACAAGGTGCTCCATTGCGTAACTAGATCGGCGCTCGACGTCTTCCTCGCTGGCTTGGGTGAGCTACTCTCGGTCATGGGTAAAGCTGTGATGATTATTTAGGTGGAAAACTAAATCGACCAGATGATATCGTACGGTTTCTTTTTTTCATCTTCCATGATTTCTCGTTCGGTTATTCTGGAAAATTTACTCTGAATGTGTGCGAGCGTGAAGACATCAAGGTTTATTTTTCGCACGTATTTTATTTTTTTTAATTGTATCAAGGACTCAGCATTGTTTATCCTGTCTTGATATAATGATTAATCATAGAAGTTTATATTTAATCTCGAGGGCATTTTTTCCATCGGGCAATCCCAGGGGATGACGATGAAGTACATGAGGATAAAAACAGTCTTCAATTTTTTATTCTATTCGGTTTAGCGAATTCTTGTAGTTTTTGTCGATGAGGCATTCTATTCTGTTGAAATCCATGTTCTATTAGAAAATTCTATTTGCTTTTTGCAGCAAATATGTTAAAAATTATGTAACTTTCACGTGCGTGTTTCGTTAGATTTTTTTTCATAGAAAAAATTAAATAGGTGTTAATTTTTCTATATAACTCACTCTATTGGGATTATTTTTATAAGAATTCTTGAACAAAAAATTTAGGAGAAGCACATGAAAAGGTAATGGGAACAACAGAAAAATTTATACCCGGACTGGGAAAAAAATGATTTTTGCCAAATATTCATTTACTTGAGAGAAGCATTTATTTTTTCAAAATCGGATTCCTCTAATTAAGTCATTCCTAGGCGAGCCTGATTAGATTTCAATTATGACAATCATTACTGTAGAGGATGACTATGTTGCACATGATCCTGCATGCACTCCTGAAATGATTATTTATTTTATCTCAAATTTTTATTTTGTAGAGGGAAGAATTTCGATTAATTTTCAACCGTTGATAATCATTGAGGGAGTTCCCTCCAGGTCACAATTAACATGATCATCTTCTAGAGAATTGTCTGGGAATGAGCCTAGTGGACACATACAGTATTGAAAAAATAAATATTTCTCTCAAGTAAGTGGATATTTGGTAAGAATAATTTTTTTCTCAGAGCAAAAATTTCTACAGAAAAATCAAAATCTATTAACTCTTCTCTATCAAATATCTCTCAACAAAATGACAAAGTAAGGTTGCATAATCTTCAATAGAATTGGCACAAAAAACCCATAAAATTCCACTAGAATTTCTTACACGAAAAAAAATATAAAATTATTTTTTACCGTGGGAACATAGTAAAAATTTCGAGTTGGCATAGTACTGGAGTCGGGATAGTGAAAGGTCGTCGGCTTCGATACCCACCCGAATTCTATCCCGAGCACTTCAATTTTGTTCATTTCATATACTTCATTTCAACCTGTAAAAAAAAGTAGAAAGTAGTAGAATAAAAGTAAAATTTAATTTGTTACGAGTAAGCTAAATTAAAAGTTAATTTAAATAAAAATTTTCGTCCAATACTGAATTAATTTGAATTCGGTTAAACTACATTAAATTTTCAAGTTGTTTCTGTATGGTCCTCGATTACTAT